TTCCTACTTAATAAATACAAAAACAAAATAATTAATATTGTTAAGAGTAAAAAAGCAAGATAAACGAGGATTTATTTACCAAAGACGATGTACAATGCGACCCCTGCGACCCCCAGCAAGATCAGCACGACGATCAGCAGGGGTACGAGTGGGCTTGAGCATCCGGATGTCTTCAAAGGACGAGCCAGGTGTAACGTCCAACCGCGACGATGCTTGTCCAGGCGTGCCGGATGCGGTGGCGGCTCGTTTCTAACGCTTCGACGTAAATTAACGCGATTCTGCGAGGTCGGGGTGTGCGTCCGCGCTGGTAGGGAATAGGCTCTCTAGAAAAAAAAAGCTATAAATATAACAAAGCCGGATGCTAAAATAGGCTGCAATCAGGAAATATTTATTTCTAGGAACGATTTCACAGATAAATGAACGAGAAACGGAGAAATGAAAATAAAAATAATAAGGGAAAGTAAAGAAATAAAAGAAAAATAATTCTTCAAGAAAAAAGATTGAGTAAAATCGAAAGTACAGACTATGTTGTAAAGTAAAAATTTTACATTTGTCTTAATACACTTTGAGTGAAATTAAAAATTCAAATAATTTATAAAACAAAAAAGAACTTTTTACGTATAATAAGATATAGGTAATTAGATTATATCATCGGAAGATTTCTATACTTTTTCCTTCACCTCTTTGATCTTTTTTACATTTACATTTATCGATCTTTTACATACATCGAAAAGAATAACGGCTCAAAAACAAGAGGGGCGACTATCATGATTTTAAGGAACTCTGGCCTATTGTAATGTGTTTTCGTAATTTTTGCTGATGCATCGCTCAGTGATGACGATGAGCGTCGCCGTCGCCGTCCGTCGCGTTCACGTCGGGCTATAGATAGATATCTTCCACTTCCGTTCCGTTTTGTTTCTTTACGTCGGTGCAACGCCAGACAGCGGCCGTTTTCTTCTTCTCTTGAGGCTGTCAGCTCTTTTGAATCTCTCGTGTGAGCTGGGAAATCGCGGACGAACTGCCTCAGCGAACCACGAATATGATCTCGTGGTACCAAAACGCGCACTCGGTCAGTTTCTTCCTCTTATATATTTGTGCTTTAGTACTTTATTTACCACCCACTCTAATCACTGGTTCACGATCTATATTTGATCCCGCCAACCAAAACTTTTGATCAAAATACGCACGGATATCCGGTGAATATTCCTGGATATTCATTAGCCTGTCCAAATACATTGCGACAAACAAATCTGCCTCTAAAAATTTTTAATGGCGTAATATTTATGACGTTATTTATATATATATATATATATATATATTATGCTGCAATTATCTATTATACTTAAAAAATTTTTAGTATAAAATATTTGTATTATGATGCATATACTCGCTGAATATGACAAGAATAAATATAATACAAGATAATAAATATAAAATACATTAAAAACATTACGGATTACTTTAATATTTTTATTGAGATTTCGTATGAGAGCACTAAGCTCTAATTTGTGTTTTATTTATAACAACGATGATAACTTAAGCTGTAATTATGCTTTCCATGGTTTCTCAGCTATCGTTAAAGTGTCTGGACAGTAGTCCCGAATTATCCAGAAAGCATAACATAAGTTGAAAGATACTTGAAATAAAGTCACGTCTGCAGATAGACTTATATTTAGCTTTTGAATAATCCTGATATTTACTTTCTCAAATATCTTTTTTCTTTAGTAAAATCTTTGAACGCAATGCTATAACAAACCTGTTCATTCACAAAATGTTCATTCACTAAAATATTCATTAAAATATCAAATTCACTAAAATATATCGAATGTCAATAATACCATCTGTAAACAAATAATAAAATACACATGAGAGATACATTGTGATAATTGTGTATTATAATTCTATAATTGTGTATTGTGATTAATTGCATTAATACTTATTATAAAAAATTAATTACGTATAAAATAATAAATAATTACATGTAGAGATATATGAGATATATTATTTCGTGTAGAAAAAAATCCTAATTATTATCATCTAGTAAGGGATTTTTAAATAAGTAAATTTATTATCTTAAAATAATTATTCGTACAATTTCATCATATCGAAATGTGAATACTGTTTTTCACACACAGTTTTTGATTACATAATTTTTTTTACAATTTAACGACAAAACTTCACCTGCATTTGAAGTTGTTCGATTCTCGATCACCACTAATTGGAAATAACACATTTATGCGCACGATAGAAAAACGCGAGAACTGTAACAATGAATATTACGCTCCGCCGCGGAATGTCAAAGATGCTGATCGACCGCTCCTGTCACGAAGCTCTAAAAGCCAGGCTTTTTTTTCTCTCTTCCACGCTCGGTCATGCGTATGCTCTTTAACACGCGCACGTGCACGTGTGCAGTGGTGACGTAACAACGTCGCTCGTTGTGTTTCGCGTTCGTCATGTGCGCTCATTTTCGCACAGTAGGCGAACTGCCACGAAACAATAAACGAAACTAGCAAAACTGAAGGGTGCACAATAACTGGTTATCTAATCCTGCCTTTTAAAAAACTTGTGTGAAATATCTCGACTAATTTCATATATGTACTAACCTAATTTTAGAAAAAATTTTTTAATATAAATCTTGGCAGAATGAAAATATTATATAATATTATTTCCTTGTACGTTATTGTCATAAAGTAAATCGATACAAACTATAAAAACTATAAAAAGTTCAAATAAAATTTTAAAATTGATCGACAGTTTTTTTTTTGAGTTTCATTCCAAAAATATATTGATATTTATTAATTATAGTTCTATAATATTAAGAGACGTGATATATTACAATATAGAAAATTACATTCGTATAAGTAGTTTTTATATATTTAACTATATTTACTTTTCTTATCTAAAAAAAGTGACGATATTCGTCACGTTACTTTAACTTTTTTCATGCAATGACAAAAATTATGTGTGAATTGTCATCATAATATTTTTGGACCGGTTATTTATAGTCGATTCTTATTTTATTAAGATTGTCTCAAGTAATATTTTTAGATGCTAATGCGGATCTGTGATCGATCGAGTAAGTTCTGTGAAGACGAATACTTAAATAATATAAGATTCGACTATGCCGGCTTATTCTTATAATATTTGAAACTTTAGCTTTAAACTAAAAGTTCAAACCTTTAGAAGAAATATCATGTTTGTATCGAATTTCTCCGGGACAGCGCGAACGCAGTCCCGACTACCAAAAATTATACGCCCGAGATACCCACTTTAGGGGTATTCGCAAGGGTCAGCTCAACCGTAGTGCAATGGAAGAGCCTCGCCCTGGAGGAACCGCCTTCCTGATCACGGTAGCCTCTGCGCCAGGTAAGTATGCTTTTACCTCCGCGCAGCCCTTTAATATTGGTTTCTATGTGGATTTTAAATACGAGAAACTCATGCGTAAACGCGCCACGTAGTGACCATGTACGTAACTAAACGCCTTTCTGCCAGTCGTTAAATCGAAACTAGTCGGACAGAAGCGACTTTCCCCGACTCGTCTCTCCGTGCCTAGCAATAATTCTAAATGTATTCTCGTGTCATTATATCACGTTACGCCAAACATCGAAAGCATTATTTCTGAAATAATTAACATAGGAAAAATATAATAGATATTTTCTGTCTGAGTCTCATTGTTTCTCTCCTATGAACTTATCGATTAATTAATTTGCCGAACGTAAAATTCTACCGCTACTTTTCATACCATTGCAATATATAACAATATATAATTTTCATATCGTTCTTATATAACAATGGTATTTTTAATTTTTATTCTTATTTTTACTTTTAAAGTTTTGAATTTATATATGTATATTTTATTTAGCATTATCTAAATATCGTAAAAGAAATTTGTAGTCTTATCATCGCAAATTAAAAAATGACATTTTCTTATCTTTTTACGAAGTCAAAATAGTCAAAATCATCAACGAAGATAAAATAATATAAAATATTACTTAAGAATTTTTAATTATTAAATTAAATATTTCTTAATAATAATTCATATTTTAAACATGTTTCTTTAGTTTAGATGCAAAATTATTATTTCGTAATATTTAAATTAATATATTCACATAATATCTCACAATGTACATATACGGAATATGCATGAATAAGACTTCATTTAAATTTAACGTGTCAAAATTTAGAAGGTTGTAAAAATTAAAAGAATCGAAATTACATAAAAGTAATTATTGTCTTGAACTCGAGGTATGCGGACGCTCTTTGCGATATGCTATTTTAGCGATTTATGTTGCTCTCTTTCGTGTTTTTTCTGTCTTTTATTGTGAACTGTGTCTATTTGATGAATGACAACTATTTTAGTGATTATTCTTTCTTTTTATTTCATATGAAAGATTTAAAGGTACTATCTCACATTTAAAATTTATTTAATAATTAATAATTTCATTTATTCAACTGACATGATTGATATATTATCATTATTATTATTTGGCTCATTGATTGAATTCAGAAATATTATAATTCAGAGATGTACTCCTTACTTTTTTGTATCACTGAAGATGACTCAAATTCAAGTCGAAATATTTGGAACTTTTATTAATAAACTGAATTAAAATTAAACATATAGTTTACACTCCGTTTAGCGCTAATTCTTAGCCTAATTTTAGCCTTGTTGCCTATTGTTGCCTATTATTATAATATCGAGAATCTTTTTTGTTAATATTCTAACACATAAAAGTAACATAGGTTAATATATAATTAACATATTTAATTAGATACGTACAACGATTCCAAAATTATTATATACAAAAGAGAAAAAAGGAAAAATACATAAAATTTAAGAAGACAGTACCGACATGAGTTCGCAATGAGCGCAATCACAAGAATCATGAATATATTTTAACTTAGATTTTAAATAGAAAGATCTTATGATCTTAAATAGAAAGATCATACTACAATCTTATTCGCCCCAAGTATAGAGAGAGAGAGAGAGAGAGAGAGAGAGAGAGAGAGAGAGAGTATTAGTAAATTACATAATAACAATTTATCAGACTGGCAACAAATCAAAAGATTTAACATGTATCAGGAGACTTAACGTAATGCGGAGTTCGGTGAAGACTGGGTCGTATCTCAATCCTCCTCGAGGATATGTCATTTTGTATTAAATATGTCATTTTGTAATAAATTCACTGGTGGGTTGTTGTATTTTGTCCAACTATTCAATACTATTCAGGAGAAAGCTCGAGCCCAATTAATTTTTTTCAAAGTTACACAGCCTCTTTCCTTCTTACCTTTTCACACTGTATCTCTCGTTCTATCTCTTTCTCTCTCCTCATTCCTACCCTTACTCCTACCCATTATTCGCTATTTGCTAACAGCTGTCTTTACAAATTAATTGCTATATAATTTTCATCTCTTCAATTAAAAAAAAATGTCTAAAAAAATCTTTTAAGAAGTTATAATATATCGATCTATAAATTTTACAATAATATTTAAAAAAAAGAGATTAAGTAAAAGCAATTCAATGCTCGTAGTGACGCAGCATAACTCACCTGAAAATGATTTTGATCCTTGACATCAGTGTAGAATATTTGCGATTCTTTGCCATACCAACGGTCTTGCGAGTAGATTGAGTTAATCCTCATATCAGTCTCATTTTCCGGGACTCCCATCAATATCTTGCTTTGAGCACTTTCTGTCACTTGGCTCAACATCTTATCATTTTCGATGTTCAGCAGGAACCTAGCTGGATTGCCCGATGTATGCACTCCATATTCGGAAGCGGCAAAAGAGGTCAAGGAATTTCTCCTAGCGCCGATATCCCGAAGACTCGTTCTATTCACAATCGGATAGATTTTTACGTTCTGCGATCTTAAAAGCGAATCCCGAAACAAGAGAGTGGACGCATCCGAGTCCTTGCTCCGATGAGTGTTTCCAATCTCTTTAAGGATCGCATCCTTGCTATCAGTCAACTCCTCTAGCTTCTCGCAGGATCCCGCGCTAGCCAATTTGCTCCTGCAGTGTTTGCAATCTTTCTTCTTACGTCTGCGATTCGGTCTGCGATCGGACCGCGTCACCGAGGTGTCTCGCGACGAATGCTCATTCGCTCGAGGTGACGAAAATACGTTCTCTGGGACGTCCTCGGAGAGAGAAGATGCTGAAAGATCGTGAGGTTTCCTGGTGACTCCCTCAGGATCATCTTCATTCGTCGTGGATGTCACTCGCGACGAGATAATCTCACTATCGATCTGATCCGTACTGATTTCAATCGAAGAAGACAATGCCGAACTTTGTTGGAAAGATCTCGCTCGAAGTTGATCGATCGCGGAGGACGGTGGCTTGTCGATCCAAGCCTGTTTGGTGAAATCGATCGATCGACGATCTTTAATCTCGCGAATATCTCGAGACTCGTCGGGGCAAGCCGTCTGCTCGGGAAGCTCGTAAGTGTCAATATCCAGGCTAATCGAGATGTCCTCGTACACGTGACCTTCGGGATGCGTTGGGATCTTCGCAACGACGGGATCACCGATCACATCGATCGCATCCACGCGAAGCTGCCGATCGTGATGATGAGGCTCGAGTACGGACTGCTCTGCTTCTACGCGCGATTGGTCCTCCTCGTAACCCTGGTTCTCCATCTGAAGCTAAGAAAGTGCAATTGTGAAAACTTTAATTCTTAATTTGTTAAATATTGTAAAAATATCAATAATGCTCGAAAAGTTCCCGCTTTTGATTTAACATTATGGAATCAACTGCACAATGATTAATTTATTAAAAAGATATCAGGACGAGTTAACTAGATCGTATATAAGACTGGAATCTTTAATGTGTGTTGTTTATAGAATAATAAGCATTGCACGTAGCCAACGTGTATTATCATTGCACGAAACAAGCCAAAGAGTGAAAATAATATTTTCTATCCATTGTAAAAATAAGATTGTGTGTCTATTTTATCTTTGATTAATGCTCTTCCTTAGAAATACACGCATATTATATCCTTTACGCATCTTTTATTTGGGTCGTGGCTATAAAAATATCCACGAGGCACGTGTAACTCGTAACGAACAACGAAAGAAAGCGAGGGAAAAAACGGAGGGACGAAGTTACGAGGGGGAGTATGAATTGAGTGTCTCGTTGAGAAGCATCCTCGCGATTGTCGCAATTATCACAACTTGACTCTCCGATTGATCCCTGCCGGACTCATGACGTCATTTGAGAATGTGCTTGTGGGACCGTTTCGTCTCGCCTTAATTTGTCCGTGATACGTACAGTGATACGCTTAGATTTCCGCAATCTCGCACGTGCCGTACTTTCCCATTACGATCGAAGATAACCGAGTCAGCTATTCCTTTTGCCCTCCAACGCGGCCCATTTCCATCTCCATAAATAAGATTTCCTCTCAATAAATAAGATTTTAAGAATAAGATTATTACACGTGCCAAAAATGCCGGTAATTTTCCAAGTAAAAATTTTTAGAATTACAATTATAAATAAAGCAAATAAATAACGAAGATATATATAATACATTCATTTTATTAATGTATCATAATAATTTCCTTAGTTTGAAATATCTACTTGTTAATTAATTTAACACGCATATTTTTTAATGAGAAACAAATTATTCAGTTTTATTTGCAATTTAGTACCAAGATACGAAAATTATCTGTGTCTTTTCACGCGTGATTAATTTTTGTGATGATTTTTTGACTTTCGTTAAATTTTCCTTCTCGATCCTTCTCATTAATGCCGAAGCATTCCACGTTCGCGTTTCGATGATGAGCGTTCAGCTGCAAAGGATGCATTCGCGAGGTCTACGCGGCACAAAGGACCTATTCACTAATAAATACAATTAGCGCGTCACCGCGCGCACGAGATTATTCAGTTGCGCCAGCAATTCCCGACATTCCCATTAGATTAATTCCGATCGGCTGTCGCCATCAGGAAACCAATCGCTGCGATCCGATTAATTCCGCGCTGATTCAGTCGCCACGCGCGTTCTTGCGTTCGCGATGACGCATCCAGGAAACGCGGCATGGAGCTTTTATCCGCGCGCGATGCCGCGACTCGTATACTTTTCGCGAGGGAGACGTCATCGTCGAGCGACGCGAACGTGAAAATTTTAATAAGCGGAGGACACACGCGAACGTGGCCATACATTATTCACGATTGTCGGGCTCTCGCGAACATTCGAAATGACCGCGGACAATTCCCATGAGAACGCGTTTGATTCCCTTCAGAGTACGAAACATTCTCCGACCGATCATAATTTTTCTCTAAAGTAGATACCTCCTGCACGATTAAATAGAAATGCATTGCAAACAATATTGACAATTTAATAAGTCATTCATATCAAAATTTTTGTTAATTATTTGGAAAATAAAAAAACTTTAACCATCTGTTGTACAAAATTACCTCTTGATCATTGAAAAGTTAAGCTTTTTTCAAACTCACATTTCTTAGCAAAGATAAACTGTATAGACAACTTTTACTCCGAGGCTTCTCTCTCACAATAATAATAATTACAATAATAATACAATAAATACAACAACAATAATAATTCTCTTGAGTATCTTTTAATATATCTACTTGTTAACTGATTCAATACTTTTTGTATTTACGCACGCAACAAAAAATAATTTATCCCGGCTTTTTTGCATGGTTAGTAGATAAATGCACGTGAGATAAATGCAAACATATATTAAATGGTAAGCACACATCACGTAGACAAAGCACGTAGACTAATTTTAAAGTCTACGACCCAGTTTGCTTACATATCACATATTTCGAACAGTCACATCAAAGTACCGTCGATCCTCAACGCGCCAACGTGATACAGTGGTTATTTTTAATTCTTTCTCGATCTTTCCCATGTAAAAATGTCTTCTTACACGCACATATCTTTCTTCTTTCCTTTAATTAATTGATTTATTTTATTTATTAACAAATTATATATCTCAATGACTCTTGAAAATTACAATAAAAATTGCAAATTAGAAGGCAATAAGAGTCAAACGCGCTTATTGATACGTGGTAATTTATTAAAGATAATAATTCAAATATCTAATTCCGAGATAAAAATTCTTAATATAAAATCGAATATAACAGAAGTTCGAACGTTTTCGATGGCTCTATATTGAGCCATTTTCAGTGAGAATAAAAAAGTTGAATAAAACTCGAGATATTACATTAGAAATATAATATACCGTGGCGATTGATGTTATGTGCCTATGTGACAACAATCAGTTGCAGACTTAGATGATGGTGGATGCTAACAGCGGTTTCCAGGTAGCATAAGACCAATCAACAGATTACCTAAGTGTGAGTATAATTTAGTCATAACTTGTAAAGAATCAGAAGTGAGATTAAAAGTAACATTGATTGACACAACTCACCACACAGGCACATGTTCGATCATTTTGTCAAACACTCAGGAGTCAAATCGCAGACATATTATATAT